GTATATATATATATATATATATATATATATATATATATATATATGTGTGTGTGCCTTTATATATGTAAATATGTGTGTGTGTATATATATATATATATATATATATATATGTGTGTGTATATATATGTGTATATATATATATATATATATATATATATATATATATATATATATATATCAGCCACTATTCACTCTTGAAGAAGCACATTCGGTTGCTGTGAAGATATACACAATGCATTAATACAGAATCTCTGGCTTTTAACTTTCACCGCACTCATCATGAAAATATACTTTGTCGCCCCTCTTTCTTCTTCTCTCATTTAGATTCCAGCATCGTCCAGGTTTTCAGGTGTATTTAATTCTCCTGGACGGGCAGATAATGAGTCCTCACTCTTCTCTTGTTTGTATTTCTAAGTCCGCGGAGAAAGAAAAATGAGTTTCTCGCTGATGATAGCCCATAAGGAAATTGGTTCTTTCGCAAGCTTTTGTACGGTTTGAAGAACAAACAACCAGCACATTGTTTTGCGTCATAATGGAAACTTTGGCAAGCAGACAAAAGCTAAGATTGATAGGTTCTTATCTGCTGTCCACGGAGGAACAACCAGCAAATATTCCGGGCTGCTTGTTTCAGTCCATTGAGCAAAAAGCTTTTTGTTCTTTTAGAGCAGTCCAAAAACAGCATTCAAACAGCATTCAGCGGCATGTCTCGAGCTCCAGAGTGCTTTAGAAAAGAAAGTAATGGTTGTGTCAGTCAAATACATCCCCCTTTAAAATGAACTAGTAAATAGGTGTTTATTTGTTTATTGAGTAGGCTGTTTGTTGGGGAGTCCATAAGCACTTCAGTGTTGATTTTTGGGATTTTAAAATGCACCAATTTACCTTATTCTTTGCCGACGAGCGGAGGCAGCCATTTGAATCTTTTTGGCTCGAGACTTCCGGTCTCATTCACTTCCATTCATTTTTAGACATTAAAAACTGCTCATTACGCTGTTTGATGTTGCAAACTGATATTTTCTTATTGTATTATTCTACTTGGTCAGTATAGTCATGCAAACGTTTGTTTGTTTGTAGAGCAAGTAGTTTGACCGTTTTCTGCCATTTATTACTCCTGGTCATTTCTCCCATAGGCCAGTGGTTCTCAAAGTGGGGGTGGGACCCCCCAAGGGGTCGCGGGACAATGAAGGGGGGTCGCCTGGGGCCTCATGTACGAAGACTTGCGTGGAAATCTTACTAAAACATAGCTGTAAATGTGCGTACGCAGAAAAAAATTCAGATGTATGAAACACTGCGTACGCCGAGTCTCACGCATATTCTTTTGTACATCCGAATGAACGTGAAACTGAGCGCAACATGCACGAGCACAAAACCCCTCCCTGCCTCCTCCCCCGTATGAATATGCTAATGACTATGCTAATGGCAAAACCCAACGAAAAAGCAACGGCAAAAGCAAGCAAAAAGAGAAACTTTGAACAGAATGTAATTTGGAGGTGCTGCTTTCGGAGGTAGATCGGAGAAAAGCGGTGTTATTTGCAAGTTTGCTTTTCGGAATTAACAACAAAAGAAAAAAAATAGAGTGGGAGAGTTTAGCTGATGCGGTCAACACAGTTGGGTCTGAACATCGCACTGAGTGCATTTAAAAAAAAACAGTCTGGTTTATATCTGTAAACTGTTGCAGTACTCTGAACAGTCTCAGTGGCGCGCTCGAAAGACGCATGTGATCATGTTTTGACACGTTCGAGCATGAACTCGGCTCGAATCCAGCGTCTGATGAACTCTATCTTCTTTTTCCCCCCCCCGCTACATATCATATTTTGCCTACTATTTATCACGAGAAAGACTAGTAGGAATCATTAATAAGTTTGTGCATCATATTTTATTTGCACATTTATTGAATGGAAATGTTTCTGATTCACGCTTGCAAATTCATCTTCAGATAGTGTCTTTATAGCAATGTGCGTGCAGTAGATGGCTCAGATTACATTGGGAAAACAGGCGACTGCTGCAAATTGTGCTATAATGTTTAGCTGGTCAACTGGATGGTATGGAAATCTTACATACCTACTAGATGAACCCGTCTCATACAGCTGCCATTGCAAGGCTCAGACACTTTGTAGAGAAGAATTTAACACAACTGCCTCTAGGAGTCGCCAATGGAAATAAAACAGACACGCACAAAAAATGTGCGTACGCCTGCCAAAAAGCTGCCGTGAACCTGCGTACATTCCCACGTTCAGTTCATTGTTAGTAAATCCAAACGTGAGCGATTCTGAGTGTGAAACCTTGCGTACGCAATGTTTTTGTGCGTAAGCAGCGTTGATACATGAGGCCCCTGGTGATTTCCAAAAATCTAATTATTTATATTAAACCATAAGAATTACCATATTTTATCAAACTACTAAAGAGCAAAATTGTTGTTTATAGTTAATATTTACTAAATAGTTACTACAGTAGCTTATAGTTACTAGTTCAATTGGATTGCGACCCCTGGTGTAATTACATAATTTTAAAGACACACCAATTGGCGTCAGATGCAGCAGATTGATTTTATAACATCAGGTTAAACTTTCTGGCACATTTACAGCTCTGATTTACATAAAAAAAAGATTAAACTAAGAATAAACTTGGGTCTATTGGTGTGTGCGCGCTATTGCATGCACGGTTTCTGTATATATAACCACCTCAGAGGATATTGGGGGTCGCGAGTCACTAGCATTGTTATTTTGGGGGTCGCAAGCT